CACTGAAAGAAATACTAATTCAGAAGTCAAACAACAAAAATCAGCGTTATATTTTCAAATTTTCACAGGACTAGTAATATGGTTTTACCGAACCACCATCCTCATCTGCAAAAGCTCTAATCAACGAGTCAAATCAATGATTAGACATGATTACATTTGTCAAATCAATGATTAGACAAGATAATAAAGGCTAGACAGAAAATAAGCTAGTGGGGCCATCCGTTGATGAAATCAGAACTAAAACATAATTTCTTTAAAGGCCGAAGGAAAAGATGAATTGGAATTAGGATCATTACCTAGAACAGAAGGATTTTTTTTAATGTGAAATGCCTCTAGAAAATCCAGTTCTCCAATGGAAGAAATGGAAGATGTTTTTTGAATAATTTTGGCAGCAGAAGAATTGAAAGTGTGATTTTCGGACCAACAATGTTGGGCAACAGAAGACTTCTGTGTTTCCTTTTTTCTAACATATGCCTCATGTTCCTTGATGTGAAATTTTAAGGCTCTCTTAGTTTGGCCAATGTAAATTAAACCACACTGGCAAGGAATCCTATAAATACCCCAGGAATTCATATCTGGAATGGGGTCCTTGAATATGGAACTCGGAATTTTATTGATGAGAGAATAAATGTGCAAAATATGTGCAACTTTATAGCTAATTGATGGAAAGAAGGGAATGACAACAGAATTTTTATAATGTCCTAACATGGAAAACATAGGAATAAAATGAAGTTAACTTTTGTTTAGTCGGATGACATGATTTAAAGTGTGGTGGAAGGCAAATCAATGAAGGTTTACAGTAAACCGTAGTACTGAAGTTGGATGTGTTATGTGTGACCAGAATCTGTTGATCTTTTTGGCAATTTTGAAGTTCTGTTTGTGTTTCGCATATTTGGATATTGTGCTTTGCTTGTCTGATTTCATGCATTTTGGTTGCAAACATTTTGTTTTCTATTCGTTTCAGTGTGGGATTTTTCTGTTGTTTTGTGCGTGCTTTATTATTGGTTAGTTAATTTAGTTTGATTTTCTGCATTGTTTATCATGCCTTCATCCGTTAATCGTTTCACTAAATTATGCCTGAAACGGCAAAAATTCCTGAATCATCTTGACTTTTTACTTAAGTGTAAATGTAAAAAATTGATCCCCAATTTCATCCAAATAAAATCTAGTCAAAAACCTTCCAGTCGCGTTTCAAGAATTCTGTTAAACTGCAAGCTTGCCTTTTGCCTTACTTCGGTCCATCATAAGGGATACACGTCAACAATTGTCCAAAATTGAACATGAACTCTATAAGCTTCATCTGGAACTCGCTAATTCATATCCAAAATTCACTGCCCTTGAACAAAAGTCTTGGTCTAGAACGGAGAATGCAGTTAACCGTCATAAAAACACCCTTGCAGTTAAATTCAAAAAACTTCTTTTACAGTCTTCCAGTTCAAGTAGTTCAAAAAAATCTTCCCATTGTAAACATTAAGCCAATAGTTAATATTTCTAATGTTAGTTTATCAGAAGAACAAGAGAGAATTCTAAAATATAATTTTAACTTCTCACAAACCTGTAAACCCTCGATTCCAAAGATTTTGGCTCCTACCGAAAAAGCTTTCGAGTTCAGTAAAGTTTCAGATTCACAGAAAGAAATGATTAAGGCATCTTATCGCTCATAATGTGAAATTCAATAATAAACCTTTGAAACCAAATCTAACTGCGAGAGAAAGAGCTACAATGCGTGAAATTCATTCTAACCCGGATATTATCATTTCAAAGGCCGACAAAGGTGGCCAGATAGTCGTCATGGATAAGAAACACTTACATCGATGGTGTCACTAAACTCTTAAACGAAGGACCATATAATCCGATCCCTAAAGATCCTTCACCTTCGGACCTTATCTCAAAAAATAAAAACTGTGTGATCAAATCTTCACAAATCATTTCAAGCAACTTAAAACATTTGCTTATCCCATCTGTTGCGAATTGTGCCAGATTATATGCTCTTCCCAAAATTCATAAAAGTGGTATTCCTTTCCGCCCTATTGTATCAAATTTAGGTATTGCCTCGTATCCATTAGCTAAATATTTTCAAGGGCAGTGAATAATAAATTTAACATTATAGAGTTGGCCATTAAGAGGGGAAAATGCATGACTCTTCAAATTCCAACTATCTATGAATTAAGCTTTTTACTGCAAGGGTTGTCCTGCTACAAGAACATTTTTACTTTATTCAAATTATTCATACAAAATCACAATTAGTTTTTACATTTCGATTCTTCCACAGTTCTCTTTTTGCAATGTGCGTACTAGAGTCACCATCAGCATCAAATTCTAATAATTCCAACTTATTCTTTTAAACCTCACAAAAAGCTTTTCCGTTTCTATACTGTTGCAAGCTGTCGAGTCCATGGATATCTGTCTCTTCAAATAATTAATCCAGCGCAGAAAGTAATTGAAATTCCTCCTTATTCTTTTAAGCCTCATAAAGAGCTTTACTAATTCTATATTTCTGCAAGCTATTGAGTCCATGGAGATCTACCTCTTCAAATAATTACTCCAGATGAGCAGAAAGAAATTGAAATTCTTCCTTACTCTTTTAAACCTCACAAAAAACTTTACTGATTCTATATCGTTGCAAGCTATAGAATCCATGGATAATCTATCTCTTCAAATAATTACCCAGAAATAAATTGATAATTTATGGTAATTAACAACAGCACAAAGCAAAAAAACTGCTTAAATAACTCACGGGCACACACAGGATGAGCATCCCTAAACAGATGAAAAATATTATATATATTCCCTTTGCTAATAAAGGAGGTGCAATGATAAAATTCAAATCAAAAACAAAAGTAATGCGAGCTTAAGGAGAAAATGAAGCAGACAGAAAAGAATGTATTTCTGTAAAGAACAAAAGAACTCTTTAAAAATAACAAATCAAAACATTTGACTAAAAAAACACATCAAAACATTTGACTTAACAAAACTGTAAATCCATATACTTTTTATGCTCATAAATTAAAGCAAAAAATAAATAAACATACTGTTTTCCAAACATCATATCAATAGCTTTTCTCTAAAATGCATTCTCATTCTACTTCTGTAATTATATTCTATACTTATGCACTATTAGCTAGGATGGAAAATGCTAAAATTGAATTTTAAATTTATTAAAAGAGTTCTATATCCTTCAACTTTTTTCCTTCTTTTTGCCACTCATTTGCGAACCCCCCTAAAACTCAACAAACGCTATTCTTTAGAATCAATTCTTATTTGAACTGCACAGACAGTAAACAAACCAATTATGATGAGGCTTAGCTATGCATTTTAAATCTAGATCTTAAAAAGGTCAGATACCTAATTATGTTGCTTGGCCTTGTGGAAACTTCAAGAAAAATTGCCCCTGGAGCTTTGAAAGTGCATTAGGAGACAAATGCTTTATACATATTTAGCATATAAATTCAAATTTAATTTTAAGATGCAATACCCAAAATGAAAGGCTCTTGCGATGCAGTCACTCTATAATAATAACATTAACAAAAAATATTAATAAATGAATAAATTAAATATATAATAAAATATGTTTGCTTTTCAATCAAAATATATTAATATAGCATAATTTTGTTAAAAATTTTATCTGTATATATGCATAAAAATTGCCCTCACACTGAATTTTCTGAGAAATGAAGTTTTGTTTGCTTATACAGTCAAAAGTGGTTAATTCGGACTCGTCGGGATTTCGGCGATTCCGGATTATCGATTTTTCCGGATTATAGATCATCAGTTTAAATCTCGTAAGATGGCATGCAGAAATTCTAAAATTAAAAATATGAAACCGTAATTTATGAAATAAAGAACAATTATGATCTAAAGGGTATCAAAATTTGCAAAAAGAAAAAGCTTAATATTTATTTGTTTACTTTATTAAACATTTCTTTCAATGTAAGTTGTTTAAGTTTTGCTTCGTTTCATGTGATAATACTTTCTGTTTAATTTCTATTAAACAGACATTTAATTTCTTGTTCAATTACAAAGTTCCGCGTTTTCAAGTCCTATAATTGCTGTGTCAAGAACACCGACTAATTTTTAATCGAATTTTTTTCGTTTTCAATAACCTCTGTCACTTTTCTTCGCTATCGGAAGCGACTTTTAATAAAAAAAAAAAAAAAAAAAAAAAAAGACAAAAAAAAAAAAAAAAAAAAAAAATGACGAGGAACTTGTTTTAAATCATATCAAAGACGGAGCATATCGAGATGAAATACTACATTTGGTAAGGAATTATAAGCCAAATAAAATAAAAACATCTGCGCTGAAGATAAGGATAAGGATAGTGCTGACAAATCAACTTCCAATTCATTAGGCGCCCGCCGCCGAGCAGCGTGAAATTGATTAAAAACAGATTTCGGATTTCAAAACATACTTTCGCTTTAGATCCTTTACATATTAACAAATATATATCGGAAATTCTATTTGATATAATCGAAAGTTTAAGCTTACTCTTTTATAAAATTGCTCTTAAAGTCTGCAAAAATAATAAGCCGGATGCAATTCAAAAATTAAAGGAACAACGCAATCATCAACATCAACTGAAATAGATAATTAGATAATTTTAGCTTATACGTCCATTATACATAAAATGCGCACGCGAAAACGTATTCTGCACTTGCGCACACTCATATGCGCAGTCGTAAAAGGTTTTACGCGCACGCGTGAACGCCTCTGCGCATGTGTCAACGTGGCGCATGCGCAGAAAGTTTTTAGTTTTGATGTCCGGATTATAGATCATTCCGAATTAACGACTTTTGACTGTATCTAAAAATATGCACAGATTACAGACAGCTGCAGATTAGCAGAATCCTTCTATATCTATCTGTTTTATGACACACCAGCAATTAACAAACACTTACAAGTGACTGAGATTCCATTAAAATTTAACACATACTAAGTAAAAAAGTAGCATTACTTTGCTTTGTTTATGTGCTCAAAAGTTTATGCAATTCATCTAAACTTACCTATCAATAACAGCATATGCTTCATTAGTTCTCAGAATACATAACGCACTGACAGATGCATATGTTGGTGCTAAATGAGCATCCTGACCTGGCCCACCTAAAATTAAAAATTACGAGTTGAATAATATATATATATATATGTAATAAAAACAAATTAAGAAGTACTGATGTATCAACACTGAGATGTAGACACACTGACGGCAAAGCATATAGAATTCACAGAACATTGTAGATCCATATTGAACAGGAAACTTGGCAGTGGAGGTGGATTAAATTCAATTTTTATTTAAATTGACATTTCTGGCCACAATTTACTTGGCACTTTAATCATGCCTATTTTCAAAATATTTACACTTTTGATACTGATCGTTGTGATAGGAAGAGAGTGCAATAAAATAGCATCCCAGCAGCTCAGAAGGTGAAGTCCTGTAACTGCTGTTTCGAGAACTCCGAATAACTTGCCAATCAAAATTTTCTCATTTTCAGTAACTTCTCTGTTATTTTCTTCACTATTGGTTGTGGTATTTTCTGGATCTACATCCATATTACAGATTTCACCATTCATTAATTGATTGATGATTGAGAACATCACAATGAAAAACTTCTTTGACATCATCTTCACTTATTACCAGTTCTCCACATTTCTTTACAAAATGCGTTAATTGGAAAATTTCATCTTTTTTTCATCAGAATTTTTATGTGAATGAAATAATTTTGAAAAATTAGTATAGAATATGATAAGCAAATAGTATTTTTGAGTATTACTGCATGAAATATTAAATGTTCTAATATAAAATAGTGCAATAATGTATAAAACTGTGAGTAATTCACGACTCTGAATGATTTATCATAAATTGTATGGAGTTATGTTTACTAATTTTTAAATTTATGGAGGGATAAACTTTGAAAGGTCCCACTTTTATTTTTTTGCCACTTTTATTTTTATTTTTTAATAAAATAATAGAATGAAGTTAAATATATATATATATGGAATGTTATAGTGCAGTTCAAAAGAGCCAGCTACCAATAATACTTCAAAATTTCTTGCGATTACAGACAGCTGCAGATTGCAAGCCTTTCCTAAACAAATATAATTATGAAATTTATTTATTTTCATATTTTTATTCACAAAATTATATGGTTCATAATATTGCTGCATTTCTTCTTTCTTTACATTATGTATGTAGAGGGTTCGTGTGGATTTGGAGTGAATAATAACAACAGCACTCAATCAAGTATCAAAATACACTTTACTGGCCAGTATTCTCAGGACAGCTTCAAAATCACATTTCTACAGCTGTCGAAGAACTACTATAGACACCAGTAACAATCAGCGACACAGTCTGCAGACAATCAGGTCTATAACAGTGAAGACAGCTTCATGGCAAAGTACAGCTCCCGACTCTGCTCAGTCATTCTCGGAACTCAACGTACTCATCACGCTACAACTCGCGATGCACTTGATGATACACTACAGTACAGCTCCCGGAGCTCAACACACTATAAGATAAAACTCGACAATGCACTAACTCATGATACTCTCTTGATACAATTGAAGACCAACTCGGCACTCACTGACTGACCATCAACTCCAACGACTCTCACTAACTAACTCTCCGCGCACCTGCAGGGTTTATATAGCCTTTTGGCTTGTGTTCGAGAATTCTGGGCTAAACCAGTAAGAATTCATTCCAGAAGGTTCTCCATCGTCTATGGCATAATGCCAATTTTGTTGCCAATCGTTGCTAAATGGACGATTTCTTGCCAAATCTGGCAACCCTAAACCTGCTTTGCGGGGAAGCTATCTTACCACGCCTGTACATTTCGTAACAATATTATTGTAAGGCAATGTAGAATATTATTTTTAAAATTTAAAAGACCTAGTTTGTGTATACAAGTTATATGTCTTAAAAATTTTAATTTTTGCATATCTATTTCAATTAACAAATATGAAAATTTTTAATGGCTGTTAAGTTATAAATGCAAACTTTGATATTTATGCAATATTAAGAGCCAGTTACCTTTTTTAAGGAATGGAGGTTCTTAGGACTATTGTATTTAAGCATTCTGCAGACATCAGCAAGTAGTTACACTGATTTGCATTGCAGAGGACTTGCCCATTTTTATCAAAGTTTATTTCGTTATTGTACCGAAATTTTGTTACTTTTCTATGTTCAATGAGTTCTAAATTCCATTTTACATTGCCTTACAAGAAAGAAAATGTGGATTATTTTATAAGCATTAAATTAATTTTAATACAAATTTCATAAATATATAAAAGAAAATTTTGGTTTTATATTGACAACAATAATTTTTATGAAAAACTTTCAAGCTTAAGCATTGCAAAATATTTTGCTTATGATTATGATATTCAAGCAAAGATTTTTTTAGAACTGTAAACTTTTCCCGTTATTTTTTAAAAACATTGGGACTCTCTCTACAAGATTTCTCAGAAAAATGAACTTGCAAACTTTCAATATAATATTCAATTTGCATTTATTGTAAAAAATAATATTTACAAGATTTTGCTATGTTAAAAATTATTTAGATCAAAATTCTATGATTTTTTTTTCACAATCGTATTTCCTTTGCTTCACTAATACTTTAAAACCTTCTTGTAAAAAGGTGTTTCTGTCGCCAAGCCTTATTCTCTATGAAGGGGGGGGGGAGAGGAAATATGATAAAAAATACGTAAATCGACTTTATAATTTAATTCAGTAATAGACTTTTAATTTTGTTATTTTCTGTTTATTCTAAAAATAAATAAATAAATAAAATTTCTGGACTGCACCGTTTCTAGATTAATCTATGCCACAGAGCTTGCATAAAGTTGATAATGTAGTTATTCGAAGATTGAACTCAAAATTTTGAGAACTGACACTTTTCTACCCTAAACCAAAATTTTCTCTTGGTGAGCTTCCATACTGGATAAATCCCTCGCTCTCTGCCTATTGCAGCAGTATTAACCCTTTGACGTGCGGTGGTCGCGCCCTGAAACCACCAATTTTCGAATTTTTTTCTCCTCTTCCTTCTGAAATTTTTGAGTGAAAATCAATTGATTACTGATCTTTTATCTCTAAATAACACAAAATGACTTCAGAATCATACATGTTTTAGGTCTTAGTACTTCAAATCGGATGCCTTTTAAAACTTGTTTTCAATCAGACAAAGTGACTTCCTTTTATGAATATAAAAAACTTTAAATTTCAAAAGTTATTCATCGCACATCATGATTTCTATCATAAACAATAAAAAATAGCAATAATTAAACTGCATATATAAAAACAACCTTCTATATGTATGGCAATTGCTTTGTGGTTTCAGCACGCGCCCACTGCCCCGCTAGAGCATTGTGGCACAATGCTCTAGCGGGGCAGTGGGCATTTGCTTGCTTCTGAATAGGAATGTTATTTTTACCGGATATAGATAAGGGGTTTTGAAAATCACAGAGTTATTTTATTACTAAACAATACATGTACTTGCCCAGTAAAAAGGTCTTTCTTTCCAGCAACTTTCAACACACTTGCTCCAAGCTAGTATTGTGATTTTATAAATTCTTTTCCTGTGGTTTAAATTTAATGTGTACATATACTTTGCTGTAATTAAAAACAGAAATCGCATAAAGTTTTATTTAAATTATTTTCTGAAAATTTTGGGACGAAATACGAATAAAATAAGTGTGAATGGGAAACGAATGATCCGTATCAAAGCCAAAAGGACTAAGCCCCTCTTCATTAACATAAAAAAACCACAAATGAAAGATGAAAAGAAACTAAATAACGCTGGACATATACCAGTGAAATTTAGATCCAATCAGTGTACATTTTCTAGCACAAGGAAGAAACCTCATAGAAGAAGATACATGTGGTGAAACGTGCAATGTGGGCATGCATGTACCAAAAAGACAAAACATGCTTTGAACAATGTTACAAAAAATATTTGTTCTTTGAAATTAAAAAAAAAACACTGAGTCTTTTTTTTTATCCTTATTGTACTGAGTTTTTTAATCCATGTAGCCAAACATCCATATTATGTAGGTACTTTCACTGCTATAGAAAAATTACATAAATGTTTATTTTTTAATTTTTTCTGACGATTTACTTTGTAAAATAATGTTAAAAAATATATATATTATATATTATGCAATTCCTACATGCATTTTGTTTTAAATTCGTAAATTTCGTCATTTATTGGAAATGCGCACAGAGAAAGGTAAGTTTTTTTTCCCTACTTACCTTGGTAAGTTTCAAGTCCTAGACGCGTGGTGGTTTCACAGTGCAACCACCACCCACAGAACAATGGGCAAGAGTAGATTTTTTTAAATTCATATATTATTTGTCTCTAGGATCATAATATTCATTTTCTAGAGTTTTTAGTTAAAAAAATTATAAAAATAATATTGCGCGTGTCAAAGGGTTAAAAAATGTAAATGTTCCTGAAAAGGCATGATAAGTGTGCCAAGTAAATTGTAGTCACAAATGTCAACTGGAATAAGAATGCATATTTAATTTTATTCGGCTGTTAAGTCTCCTAGACATTATGGATTCAACAATTTAGCATTCTATGGAATCAGAATTTTTCCTCTTCAGTATTGATCTACATTCTATGCCTTCATCATTTGCCACATCTTTTTCTTTATTTTATTATATATATATATGTAATATTTCGGCAGTCAGGCACATGGATGAAGCTTGGCAGAAATAATGACACAGAAGGTTAATTGTTTTGATTCCACAGCTTTATTCAATTGAAAGGCATATTATCATTTCTTTACTAAAATAAGATTAAATTCAATGTGTCATAATAGTTTAACAAAGGGAGGCAGATGAGAGCAGCAGAACAGATCTTAATAGCAGATGGAGAAAGCAGTCTCTCTGGCGAGGTTCTCTATTTATATAGAAGTGGTTACGTAATAGGCTGGAATGTTCTTGAAAGTACTGGTCTAGGGAGAAGATCCTGAAATTGCGGAAAGTTAATTAGAGGTTGCTTGTTCGCATAGAGCAAAGCCACTGTGCTTTTTATATTTTACATATATAATTTTATAATTTATATATTATTAATAGTTTTATTATATATATCTGAAAGAATGCTAAGGTCTGCAGTCACCAGAGGGCAACTACTTGGCCAAACCACATGAAGGTGGCGATAGACTTTCGGGTTAGATTTGATTTCATGAGCGCAAGTAGGTACCATGAGACATTGTAAACACATAAAGTGATGCAAAAATTTATTTGTGTTTAGCTAGAGTGATGAGGCATTAAACAACTGTTTTATTTTACTGTAATCTGTTATAAAATTATTAAATGTTCTGTTATGGTGAAAAGGATTCCTCATTAGTTAATGAGTAACATCATCTCATTTCCTTCATATATATATATATAGATATATATATATATATATACATGTAACATAAAAATTATGTAAATCAAAATCCTAGCTTTACTCTTAATATTTTGGATACTCTCTCTTTAGTTTATATACCTGCCCTTTATGTCCTAAAATTAGTAACTGATTATAATCTCTTAAACACTGTCATTTCCAAATTAATCCCCACCATATGTATGATCTTACATAATGCTGCTGATGCAGGTACTTATATAAGCACAAGACATTAAAATAGCAACTTTTTTTGGAATATTTTTTGAAATGCATCACATATACTCTTTTTATTTCCCATCTAACTTGTTGCCACTCATTTCTTTATTTCATTAATCATAACATAAAAAGGCACCAAAGTGTGATGAAGAATGGGTGCAGACTGTGGCCAATGTGGTGTGTGACTTAAAATGAAAATATGCTTCTAAAGAATGGATTTATCTTAAAATAAAACATGCTACATCAGCACAGTGGCTAACATCTGATTACAACAACATAGTTACGCATCACCCCTAAGCATCATTATCAACTGCAACTCTGGCAATGATTGAAAGTGTTTGCTTTCCCAATCTAAAAATATTTTTAAAATAAGAATACCTAAAGATTTAGCACTTGTTATTAAGTTACAAAATTAGTTTTGGTCTTGCTTGAAGGAAAAATGATAGCAGTCTAGTTGTAATAAAACATATGCAATCAAATAGGTATTTAGCAAAAGAAAATTTTCATACCTCCAAAACCTCCATCAGGATGCTGACATGAACGAAGGAATCCAATAATGCTGAAAGAAGGAGGAAAAAAAAAAAGTACGCATTAAGTATTAAAACAGCACTATTTTATTTTATTTTATTTACTTTTTTTTAACGGGAATGAACTTTTGCAAAATTTTAGAGCACTTTTTAGAGGACATATAAGTGTTTTAACAACAGTCTTTAACCTTTTTTCAATGTCTCAAAATTAATCAATTATGCTGAATACAAATTTGTGGGAAATTTTCCAAACACACTGTCTTATATTTAAACTGCAGTAACAATAATATAAATAAATTTAAAATAATTAACAAACTAACACCCTCATATTATGTAATACAGGATCTAAAAATAGCCACATAAGAAATCTTGCAATCTGAAAACTTCAGATCACAGTCTAACATATCAAAGATGAATTTCCCTTTAAAAAGTTGATATTTTGTTTAAATATGGAAAATAAAAAATTACAAATATATGGGAAACCATGCAAATATTTTGCTATGCTTTTTAAATAAAAAACAGAAAGTTACATATTATACCATCAAGCACTGATGGAAATTTCGGCAATGGCTGCCAGTCGCTATTGCGGAATTCAGTCAGTCATCCATAACTGGCGCTACTTGGCCAGTAGACGGGATAATGCATAAGTACTTGTAGAGTTCCTCACTCTTATTCTACTAAAGTAAATGTTGAGGAACCTAGTGTATTGTTAAGCAAATTATCGCTTAGTTCGAATAACAGAAGTTCTAAACTCAAGAAGGGTAAACTACCTTTTATTTAGCTCAAAATAAGATTAACAGTCTGCCCTTTCTTCGGGCTTACAGCAAAACCTCCACTTGGGCTTAAAATCAAAATAAAAAATAAGAGCTAACTCAGAACTAACTCAAAGAGACTTATCTGAAGCTAACACAAATCTAATGTAGTTGGGCAAAAGTCGAACAACTCAGGATTCCTAGCTCTTTCTCTCTCGAAGTAAGTTGAATCTTCCTTTAATACTAAAACTTACTCATTTGCATTCAACGTGATTCTAAAAACTCATTCTGGTAGGGAATAGTAAGTTGAAACGAGGAAAAATAGGAAAACACAATTAAATTAAAAAAACTGTTATAAAATTAAAATATACCTTACATACTTAAAAATAATATCTAGTGCTGTCAACTTATGAAATTAGTTTTGCTTTTGAATAAAATAAAAACTTCAAAAGAGATTCACTTTTAAAAACTCCCCATATTTCTACATTTTTCTACATTTTTTTTTTTTTGAATCTAGAAACAGAAATTTCGCAGTTAATCAATTATGAAGTGCTAGAAATCCATTTCATTTATGACACTCGTGGTTTAAAATAACAACTGTTACAAAAAATATAATTAAAACAACTTTTTAATTGAATAATTCACACTGTCTTGACTATAGACTTTTAGAATATTGCAGAGATGTAAAGCACTTTTGATTGCCAATAAAATCAATTTGCAAAAGAAAATTTTTTATAACAAACTGAACCCAATTAGCAGTTTAAGAGTTGCTTTAAAAAATCTTGCATGCATTCATTAATTTATAAGCTTTAAAGAAAGTGTACCCTCATCACAATTTTCAGGGTTCATACACATTTCCACACATTAAAATTTTTAAGGACCATTAGTAAAAAAAAAAAAAAAAAAAAAAAAAAAAAAAAAAAAAAAAGGATTTATTAGCAATTTGAAATTGAATAAATTCAATTAAAGATATTATCTGTATCCAAATTTGATTTTTGTAATACTATCCTAAGAATAAAACAGATCTGTAAGTAGGATGCATTATTATTAAACACAATTATAAAACAAATTTGATAATGAAATAAACTTTGTAAAATTTATCAAGTAGTATTAAATATCTTACTCTTATAATGGTTAGGCATAATTTAAAGTACTAGATTAATGACATTATATTTACATTTTGTTAGCAGTTAGCTCTATTCTGATTTTTTTTTTTCCCTTGCATTCTTGTTTTGTCACATATTTGTTCATTCGAAAGGTTTGAGTAAATGCAGACAGATTTTTATGTCAAATGGCATAGGTTAAAATGAGAAATAAAATCATAATCACTATAATTTGTAAGAGAAGCCTGGCTGTAGCCACCACTGCTGCTTGCCTAGACACATACTTGCTGATTAGAAGAGACCTGAATGTCTGACACTGGTATGGTCGGTAAGCGTTAACAGTTAGTTATGTTAACAGTTAATGTTGTAGCTTTGCATAGAATTTCTGTTTCATTAGTTGTAACCCAGTTAATATACTTTAAAGTTATAATAAGCCACTAAAGCACCAAAGATGGTAAGTTGTTTTGTATTATTTTAAGTCTCACTAGCTGTAAGGAATAAGTTTTACATTTTTGTGTTGAATCTAGTGACTGCAGCAAGGATTAATGGAATGCAATTACTCACTTTAAAGATTTAAGTGACTTTTAAAAGTCAACAGTTACAAATAATTAAGTAGTTAATACTCTCAGTCATTACAGATTTACATGCTCACTATTAATGAATTTATTTTTTTAAAAAATATCTGTTATAAAAGCACTATTAAAATAACAAACTAAGACCATTTAACCATTTAAAACACAATTTTGATTCTTAAACAATATTAGAACCATTATATATTAAAAGCTGCAAATCATTTATATTTTATAGCAACAACACACAACAAAATATCTGTGTATCTTTTTAATATGAAAACTTCTCAGACATTATGGCTAATTTATAGCAATTTCGTTTTTTTAAACATCTTTTTTAAAATAAGAAATTTATTTCAGTAAGCAAACCAATGTTCCCATTAGTTTCTGTTTGATCTTCTAACTTGTCAATGTCTCAACAATATACCGAAGAGCAATTTCCTTTTCCTTTATATATTCAGTCTCTTCCTCAATAAGTTTCCCCTTTTTATAATTTTGGGATTTGATTAGAGATTTCTGGTATTCTAAAAAACTTCATCCATTTAGAATGTATAGAAGAAACTGCTAATTTTATTTCTTAAGTAATACGAACATTGAGAATAAATATGAAATTATATGTGATCAGGGCAGTACTAAAGCTGGTGTAGGAGAATTTTTAGAATTTAGTGAAATACCAAGCAAAAAAAATCTAGAAATGGCAAAACTTTTAGAATTTAATGAGACAATAGACAGCAGAATTTAGGACTGACACAGATTGCGCCAGGTGGTAAAAATGCCTAGTGCCAACCCTGTGTATGATTGCATTGAGACATAAAAGAAGAATCTTTTATACAGTTTCCAATTTTGTTATTAATAGAAAAATTTCTTTCTATAGATGCCAGTTCATGTGGCAAGATTAGAAGCATTCCTGATATTTTTCATGTTTGTGTTTATTGAAGGAAAGATAAAATAAAGGGAAGAACAAGTTAAGAGAAAGACTTCTTGGATCAGAAGCAGAAAATTCAAGCAATTAGGTCTTCAAAAAATTCCACCAAAAGTACAAAATTTACCATAAACGTTCTGTAAAATACATCCATTACACACTAATAACATGAAGACTTTATTTTATCACAATTTTTGGAATCATAGGTATATAAATCTTGTCTTCAAATCCTTCTAAACCTTCCAAAGCATAAAATTCGACAAAAAAATTATCCCAACCAATTCTCTAACAGCAGACTAGTACACAATCGGAAAAATCGATAATCCGGAAGCGCCGAAGTCCCGACAAGTCCGGATTAACGACTTTTAACTGTATTTCTTTCATTTACATGATGCATGCCAAGACACAACAACAGTGCCATCTGGGGACCAAACCATCTGTCAATTCATGCACATTCAATTCATGTCAATTCATTTGACATGTGTCAGGAGCATAACAGAAAAGTTTAAATAAATAAATAAATAAAATAAAAAAATAATAATATTTTACTAAAGCATAAATAAACTGCACAGACAGTTAGTGCATTACACACCACTCACTCTACTTAACCCTAAAATAATAATAAAAAAATATTTAGGTGGCATTAACAGAAAAGTAACCATTCTCAAGAATTTACATATATCCATAATTTTTTAGCCTTACTGTGTTTTTAATTCTTCTGTAATGGGTTCATCTAAAAGCTGAATTGAATGTAGTATCCAATAAATTAACCATGCTCGACTTGCATCCAGCACCTGCAACAAAACACATCAAGAAGATGCATATAACAGATTTAAGTTAAAGAGTATTACTGAATCAGAGAAAGAGCAAAAAAATTCTAACATATGCAATTTAAAAATGTCTAAAATATATCATGAAATATCCTGTTATAAAATAAAGCAAAAATTAACTATATTTTGCATGGTATTTATAATACCAATATAGACCAAAATATTAATATGGCAGATAACTGGTATTAACAAAATTCTCAACACTTCATAACTAATTTCTGTTTAGATTTATCTATCCTTGGAAAGCACATAAGATACATATAACCGTAGACAGAGTAACTCAGAACTCATGGGACAGCTTTAAGCTGCCCTAGAGTATACTATAACAAAATGTTTTTTAATGGAATTTATGGGCGCAAGTGAAACATTGAGGTATAAATACAAGAAATAACACATGACAAGAAACCTCAATTGTTTATTTATATCACCAAAATGTTCTTTGTTACAGCAGAATTTACAATAATTGATCAAAGTTGCACCTGTCAATGATAATATATATTTTACAGTGTCAAAGGAGTCTTCAGTACAAAGTTTCAAAGATTCGAGACATTTTGAACATACTTAGAGTATATTTATGCATTAAGAATAAACTAGATTTTTGTAAAGAACTTTTGGATGTCCATATGAGAATTCAGGCTTGATGGGGTGATCAATGTGGCCAACATATTGGTCTACTACAGCCAAGTCAGCCAAGTCACTGTGCTCCAAATGTGGCTTCTAGGTAATTACATGCATCAGTGCTAAAATAGGTTCACCCCTTGTCATGATTAAGCCACAGTTGGTTATGAATTGCTATTAGAACTTCTTGAAGAATTTTTGGTGTGAAACTTTAAGAAAAATACAGTATAAATCTGCTACCAACTCATGTTGCTAGCAGATACGAGTCAACCAGGAAATTATTCACAACATCCATCCACATAATCACAGAGCAGACATGCCCCAACCCGCAGCCCAATTGAAGTTTCTAACTGCATATTATTTTAGACATTTGGACATAGTTGAATATTTGAATCGAAAAATCGTGTTTTGACCCCCCCCTCTCCCCGTGCAATTTTTTCCAAAATATTTCTTTTTCCTTCATTTGACTTCCAAGCCATAAGAAAATAACATTTGGTCATCAGGCAGAATTTTTTTTTTTTTTTTTTTTTTGTGTGTGTGTGTGTGTGTGTGTGTGTGTAGAATTTTGAATTTTATGCAGATATTCTGTAACACAAGCATACAATGTGAAGATGTTATGCAGATAGTTGTTATACTACAAAGAAGGAGCATTTTTGAGAAGGAACAGCCTTGGGTTTAAGATGCGATATGTTCCCCTGCCATTTCAATTTTCTACTTAAGAATGCAGAAAATGCTGTTTTCACAGTCAAGTTTCACAGTTGATTCCACAGTCATAAATGTTCTATTACTTCACAAACAGCTACTTTACATTTTTAATTTGTAATTTCTACATGTCATCTTAATAGATTTTAATTGATGATCTAAAATATGGAAATTTTCAAAATCCAAAATTGTTTAGGATCTCAAATCTAAAATCTAAGTCCCAATGGTTCAGGATTGCAGACTTTGTACTGTATTACTTTTGGTGAATGCACAAATAAGTACTGCTGTAAAAAAAAGTATTTGTGAATGATACTGTAAGTAAACAATTTATGTTTAATTTCATGAGTTTGTGCATTAACATGTCACTTGTACTCTACTTAATGTTTGTCCTATAGCTCTGAAACATCCCGTTCAACAGTTTTATAACAAATACCCTCTTTCTTATTACAACATAAAATCTTTTGAATTTATTTTCTGAATATAAATTATACATTTCTTAAAAACTACATAATTTGAAAAATATACCTAAATGATGACTTTTATAAACACTTGCATTATTATTATAATTAACAAATACCTTCATTACAATATAATATGTACTTCAGCAGAGAATAATTCTTTACTAAAAAAAAATGGTACTTTTCCATTTTGCCGGTGCAGGTGATAAAGGCCACCGAAAATGGTACAACTGATGCAAATGGAATATCCCCACTGATAACCTTTTACCTCCACATTTTCAAAACAAGTTGCAGTCATTTCTTATCAGTTATGTTTTTTCCTAATATGTTAATGAAAAATATAATATGAATAATAAGAAAAATCTTTGGACCGGGACAACAAAATGGTAAATAGAAAATATTGGAAATATGGTGAAACTGATATTGTGAGAATCGTAAAGGCATCTCGTACCAGATGGCTGGGCCATGTGTTTAGATATGATGATGCATTTCCAACAAAAAAGATAACCTTTTCGAGAACTGAGGGTTAAGATGAAAAAGGAAGACCACCCACTAGATGGATAGGTGATATCGAAGGTTAATTGGAGTTAACCAATGGAAGATTTATTACACTGAAAGGGGTCAGGTGGAGGGAACTTGGAAAGACAGGCTGCGGTGCTTGTGAAGAAGAAGAATATGAAAAACTAATCGAAATTTGGGATTTGCACAGAAAAGAAGAGGAATCTGTCCGATTTATTCAAGCGAATGGCATTCTGCCTAAAACTGCTACTCGTAATAATAATCATAAAATTAAATTGTATTTCAGGAATGAAATTCAATGGTGCTGCAACCTTTCAGCTTGTTGCAGTAAAAGAAGTATCCAGAAAGGCACATGGTTTGAATCATCAAAACTGAGTTGAAATTCGAGGTTTTTTTATGGTTGGAGTGAAAAATCAACTTCAGTTAAATGGTTTGAAAAGCAGTCATAGAACAGTTGTGGACTAGAATAACTACATGTGCGAGGTTTGTGTTGTTCTTTTGCTTAAATGTCAACAACAGAAAATAGAAAGACCTGGTATCATCATCGAAGTGGATAAAAGTATGTTAACAAAGCACAAAAACAATTCGGGACAGATTCTACCACAACAGTGGATCTTTGGTGGAGTTTGCTGTGAAACAAACAGATGTTTTCCTGTGAAGGTGCCAAACCGATCCATGAGAATATCTCAGAAACAATCAGTTGGATAGCTATGATTTTCAGTTTTTGACCACAGCAAGTGGAAGACTCTAACATGCTTTTTCTTGGCAACACAAGAAGTAAATTAAAGGAGAATATGACACAGCCCATAAGAATTTTGTGCTAAACTTGGGAAGAACAATACTGAAACATCTGAAATGTTATAACATGCATAAATAGTGAAGCGGTTTGTCATTGAAGTGTCTGGTGTACAAATATAGAAAAATAACACTTCTCTGACTCCTATGGAACCAATATTTTATTCCATACGATGTTATAGATTCTTATTCATAAGATTTATTTACATTTTACATGCACGTAGCATCGCGTGACAAAAACTCGGAGTTTGTTTACTTCGTTCTTTGCGGAGACTAGAAGGTGTTGCCATTCCGCTTTAACTAAATTTAATTAGAAATGTAACGGAACTGAAGCGACACTACACACCCCCTTCCTAGTGACAGCGATTATGGAAAATAGTCTTTAAAGTGACTGGGGAACTTCACATGTCTGCCGGTTCTAGTAGTCTTAGTTTCATGATGATTTTCTGAAGTTCCTTCAGTGTTCTTGAGTGCAGGTGTGTTTCCCAAAGTTCCGCTTTCTTGGAATGGGAGTTTTGAAAAGGAATATCAGAATCTTGCACTAGGAAACATGGCTTTAGTCTGTCTATTGAAACTCTTTTAACTTTTCCTTGGATTTCAATATCGAAGTACTTATCCTTTCTTGCTCTTACAGGATACGGTCCAAGATAGACAGGCTGTAGCGACGAATTATTAATGTTGTTGTATAGGAATACGTGAGAACAGTTGGAAAGATGTTTAGAAACAAAGACTGTTCTATTTCCATGGGTGGTGGTAGAACTTGGCTTCATAGCTCTTATTATTTTCTGAAGGTTTTGAGAAAATTCAGACTGTTTCATATCATATGAGGTACTGTTGAAAAGAATTCACCAGGTAATGCTAAAGGAGTTCCGTATACAAGTTCTGCGGATGAGCAACCTAAGTCTTCCTTGATGGCAGATCTTATGCCTAAAGAACGAAAGGCAATGCTTCCAGCCATGATTTTGATTCGAGTAGATGACATTTGAGACTTGCTTTTAAAGTTCGGTGTTGTCTTTCGATCAGGCCATTTGCCTGTGGATGGTACGCAGTTTGTAGTGTTTGTATGAAAACCAAGATATTTTCCTAAAGCTTGAAAAAGTTGGCTATCAAATTGCCGACCTTGGTCAGATGTTATGCGATTCGGAATTCCAAAGCGTGAAAACCAAGTATAAATCAAAGCTTTAGCAATAGATTCTGCTGATTGATCTTCTAACGGTACCGCTTCGATCCATCGTGTATAACGATCGATGATGGTATGGTTAGAAGGTATTTGAATCCTTTGCAAGGAGGTAGCGGACCCACCAGATCTACGTTTAAATGCTGGAATCTGTGTGGAGGTACTTTGAATTCTCCCAAAGATGAATGTGTATGTCTGTGAACTTTAGATCTTTGGCAAGATAAACATGCTCTAGTCCATAGTTGGCAGTCTTTATTCATATTGGGCCATATGAAACGTCGTGTTATCAATTTTATCGTGGATCTTATTCCAGGATGAGATAAATTATGGATTGAAGAAAATATTTTCTGCCGAAACTTTGCAGGGATGTATGGTCGATTATAATTTGTAGAAGTATCACAGTAAATTTTCTTGTCGCTGTCCGGTATAGGGATCTGTAGGATTTTTAAGTTTGGGTTGTTTTTTTAGTGTCTCCAAGTCGTCATCTTCTTGACAGTCTACTATAGTTTGTAAGTCTATTGCAGATGGTACAGAAATGGTGTCTATGCGAGAGAGAGCGTCAGCGACGGTATTTTCATGCCCTTGTATGAATCGGATATCGGTTGAGAACTGGCCAATATATGACAGTTGTCTAGCTTGTCGTGGCGAAGCTTTTTCCAAATTTTGTTGGAAGGCAAATGTTAGTGGTTTGTGAT